GGAGCTCTCTGCGCGGGGCACCGGGCCAGTTCGAGCAGGGACACTTAATTAAAGTGCTGGTGCACGGCCTGCCCACGCCCTGCCCCTCGTCCTCCCACCCCGCGTGCCCTCGGCCACGCCAGCGGGCCTCGTCCAGCACCCCCCCCCCCCCCCCCCCCCCCCCCCCCTGAGGGCACCGTGTGGCATGGTTGCCTCAGAGGACACCGGCCAGCCTTCCTGTGGGTCCCTGTCCTCGGCCGCCCTGTGCCTGTGCCCCGGCGGACGAGCACCCTGGCCCCGGCCCACCCAGGAAGGGCGCCAAAAACAGATTTCCAGACTGGATTCGAAAGCAGCCGGCCTGGGGGAGCCGGGAGCAGCGTCCCTGCCAGGGCTCTCCGACCACCACCGCGACGCCACCACTCCCAGCTCGGGGGGACGAAGGGGCCTGGCGATTTCTGCAGCTGGGGGGCCGAGAGCCGTGTGTGTGTGTGTGTGTGTGTGGTGTGTGTGTGTGTGTGGTGTGGTGGAGTGTCCCGGGCACCCCACGCAGCAAGGCTGCGGCACCCACCACTGCCGCCGCCCCGCCCACGGCTGCTGCAAATACTCCCACCTGGGCTTTCCGCTCAGGAGAGACAGAGGAGGAAACCCGGCCACCACAGAGCTGCCACCACCAGGCCCCCAATCCCAGGGCAGCCTCGACATGACCCAGGAGGAGCAGCGGCTGTCGCGCGCACTACCCACAGGTCTCGACCTCCCGGATGTTGCTCCGGTTACCGCTGGCAGTCGTGCAGCACCTGGCGGCGGGGGGAGAGGGGGATGAGGGATCCGGACCTCTCGGGAGGCGCCGAGCCCCCACTCCCCACAGAGGTGCTGAGGGTGGGAGCAGAGGGCAGGGGCCGGCCCGGCGCCACAGGGACAGACCATGGGACAGGCCTGCGCACTCGGGGACGGATGCTGTTCCACCTTCCGGCCTCCCGCCCTGCGTGGCTGCTCACGTTGGGGTGGCCGTCTCTGGAGGACCTTGTGCAGACGTGGCAGAACTTCCAGCTGAGGATGGCAGCTGCTGGCAGCGGGCACCCGATGGCGTAGACCAGAAGGGTGAAGGCCCCTTTCGATGGTGCGTGCCCAGGATGATGCCTGCGGGGGTCAAGGCCAAGTGCGGGAGGGCAGACACGCAAGTGTGGGGCAGCCGAGGCCGGCCAAGGGCACAGGGGTCAGGCAAGACGCAGGGCAAGTTCGTTCCAGGACTCTAAACTGTGCGGACGGTTGGCGTTTCCATGGTGACTCTCACAGCGGGAAAAAAGGGCTGAGCCACGTGGGAGCCTGGTGGGGCGCAGCCCACAGAGAAGACGCCCCACCCGGCTCAGGGCTCCGCGGGGAGGCGCCTGCTCCCTGCCCCCCCGCACCCCCGGCCCGACGCCCGCCACGGGCCGGCCACGGGCTGTCACCCCCCACCCGGCGCAGGTGCGAAGGATACGCCGCGCGTGCTTCTCCTTCACGGGGCCTCCTGGCTGTTGATGGCTTTGCTGCATGCTGGATGGCCTGTGGGGGGAGAGGCACGTTCAGGACCCCTGGAGGCCTCCCCAGGGCGACCACCCAGAGGGAAAAGGGCAACACAGGAACAGGATTCTGCCGGACTGACGTGGGAGTGCGACGAAAGGGAGGAAACCCCCACGAGCAGACCGAGCCCTGAAGAGCGCCTCCCTGGTCCCTGCCCTGCGCAGCTGGGACCACCAGCCACCACCCCGCCAAAGGCCACCGGACCTCGGCGTCTAGGGGAAACGACGCGGTGAGCCGGGCTGTGGCCCCACGGCCACTCTGGTCTGAAACCACACAGGGAGCTCTCTGGAGAAGAGGTCCCCTGGCCGCAGGCGTGGCCGGCGTGGCCTGCTCTGCCTGTCCCCCCACCGGAGGCCGCCTGGACCCGACCCTCACGCGCGCCCCATGCAGGATGCCCGTCCTCCCCGCTTCTCCAGAGGGCGGGGGCTGGCAGTGTCTCGGCTGGACGGTCTCCATGGCACTCCCAGGAAACCAGGCGAGCCCAGGGCCCTGCCAGGACTGTCTCGCCTCAAGCTCCCGCCCCACGATGCCAATGGACAGGACTCTCTCCCTCTCCCCGCAAGAGTTTCCTTGGCAAGAACGACAAGGAGAGAGAGGGAGGGAAAAGCTAGAGACAAGAGGGCGGTCGGGGGAGGCTGGAGGGGGCGTTGTTGAACGCAGAGGTGACGGGGTGGGGGGTGGCTCGCGGCGTGTTCACAGGAGGGGACCCTGCCCGGGCTGTCTTCCCACAGGGGCATCTGCACGACCGGTACGGACAGCTGGTGAGCGTCTACACCAAGCTGCTGCTCACCAAGATCTCCTTCCACCTCAAGGTGCTTTCCTCGGGCAGCTGTGGGGCCGAGGGACCCCTGGGCTTTTCCCTCTGTGACGTCTGAGGGCGTCGAGGGTGGAACCTGTCCCGTCCGTGGGTCCGTCCGCTCACCTTCCTGTCCTAACCGTGACCAATGGGGAGGCAGGGAGGCTGGGACGTGAGGAAGCTCCTAGAATTGAGTTCTTGGTGTTCCCGTGGACCTGGGGCCGTCCTCCCCTGCCCTGCCCGGGCTCGCCCCTCGTCGCAGCTCCTGGTCACCTGCGCAGGCCACGGTGCGCAGGAGCAGGGGTCGGGGCCCAGCGTGAGGCTGCAGCTGAGTGGGGTTCTCTCGGCAGCACCCCCAGTTCCCCGCGGGCCTGGAGGTGACAGATGAGGTGTTGGAGAAGGCGGCTGGCACCGACGTCAACAACATGTGAGTGGCTCCACAGGGCGAGTGGCCTGGCGTCCACCCTCTTCCCTCAGTTTCCCTGCGGGGTCCCACCCTATTTCACAGCTGGGCATCAGGTGTCCAGTGGGTCCGTGGCCTTCTGAGGCCAAAGCTCGTGCTCGAGGGGAAGAGGCTGGCGATAAAGGGATGGGGTTGTCTGCCCGAAGACCCGGCCTTGCAAAGGCAGCTTGGCCAGAGCTGTCAACGGCTGTGTCCCTGTCCCCTCCCGGGGGCCAGTGGGACCACCCACCCCTCTCCACCTCTCACCCCTCCCCGACTCTCCCGCAGCTTCCAGCTCACCGTGGAGATGTTCGACTACATGGACTGTGAGCTGAAGCTCTCTGAATCAGGTGAGCCGTCCCAAGAGGAGGTACCGGGGTCACTGTGTGCCCAGAGTTGGGACAAGGAGGAGGAGACACTAGTGACCAGACCGACTTAACATCCTCAGAGGCACCTGCCCCTCCAGGGATGGCCGATGGGGCCTCCCCGTCCCCGGGTCGCCAGGCCCCGGCGGGCCCGTGCAGCACAGAGGCTCGGCTGTCCCCCTGCCCAGTGAGCGTCACTCTGGTGGCCCTAAGACAGGGAGGACGTGGGGTGTGGACAAGCAGTGAGCCGCCTCTTAGGGTTCCCGCTCCAGCTCAGCACCCGTGGAGCCCTCATTGGAGAGTTGGTTCAGGTCCTCGTGCCCATTTTCTGTTCTGAAAGCCTCTGGGTCACGTCAGACTTCCTCCGCTGGGCGCCCGGCCGCCGGACAGGAAATCTCCGGGGCTGGAGGGGCGATTGTTCTAGGTGGCAGCTTCAAAACAACTCTCGGGTGACTCAGAGCTCTCCACTGGAGGGCAGGTAGCAAGTGCTTTTTTAAGGAGTTAGCAGGGTTCAGGAACGGTGTGGGTAGGCAGCTGTCCGTCCCCGCGGGGGAGCGGCGCAGACCCGCAGGCGTTTCCGCCCCGCAGCGCTGGAGTTTCCAGGAAACGAGGAAGGGCACGCCAGGGCACGCCAGCAGGCCCTGGCGCCGGCACGTCTGGAGAACCCGGGCTCTGACAGGTGGCAGGTGCGGAGGTCCCTGCCTCAAGCTCTGTAACAGCAAAAAACAGAAATGTCCTAAACGCTCCTTGGCGGAGAACTGGCTGCAAATCGCTGCCAGTGTGTAGCAGGGAACGGAGGGCTGGCTGTTAAGAGAGATGCATCTGAGTCTGCTATAGCTGGGAAAGATCTAGAAACATTCTGCTGTGTGAAATAAAGCAGATCGCAGAACAGTATGTACATATGTGCCTAAAACCCAAAGCAGGACTTTACATGGGCTTTAATTTTGCACAAGGAAAACGCACTTAGTATGACACTAGTAATTAGAAATTTATTTAAAAAGCCAAGGCAGCCTAGGCAACATAGCTTGACCCCATCTGTATGGAAAAAAAATTAAAAACAAATAGCAAGGCGTGGTGGTGTGTGCCTGTAGTCCCAGCTGCTCAGGCTGAGGCTGCAGTGAGCTGTGACTGTACCTCTAGGCCACACAGTGCGGCTCTGTCTCAGAAAAATTTTTAAGAGGTGAGAGGTGGTGCTTTGCCTCTTCGTTCTCGCCCCTTCCCTCCCGGGTGCGCTCCTGTTACTGCAGAGGTTTGCATATGGCCCCTCCCCAGGCAGGGCAGGAGCAGGACCGGAGCTCGGCTGCCCCGTGTGGGGCCCCCTGGCGGCTCTCCCTGTGGCCAGCTGCCCGCGCTGTTATTCCTCTCTCTGCCCCAGAGAAGCTGCCAGCCGGGGCGGAGGCAGCCTCGTGTTTGTCTTTTGTCCCTCCTACTTGGTAGTTCTGATACAAGGCCCGATTGTCAGGTTCCAGGGAAGACTGGCCCCGGGTGCAAGTGAGGCTTCGGGGTCACTTGGGGTTTGCAGAGCTGTCCTGCCCCCACTGCTGTGTGACTTTGGCAAAGCCCGGCCTGTCCCCATATCTGTGAAATGCAGCACTTGGGCTGCTCGGTCCTAAGCCTGTGTCCCTCTGTGTGACTGAGAGCAGGTTTGCGGCCCAGGGCACGGGCTGCGCACAGCCCTGTGACTCGGACACCTCGTCCCGGCCCATCCCGGCAGCGGCCTCTGGAAACCCTTGCCCAGCTGAGCGGGAGCGCATTAGCCCCGACCTTGCTGTCACCCGTGCCCTGGTTCCAGGGAGCATCTGGTCATGGCCTGGGGCAGCCACCAGCTCATGGGGCCCTGTCCTGGAGGCCGGGAGCCTGCTGGTGTCCGAGAACTTTCCAGCCGGACGGGCTTTATCGGCTGCCCAAGCCATCACCTCATCTTCAAGCTGCCCTGGCAGGGTGGCCGCGCGCGTGGCGTGTAGGCTGCCCGGGCCCGGGTCTCCCACAGGCTCACGCCCTCTCTCTCCCGTCCCTCTTCTGCTCAGTTTTCCGGCAGCTCAACACAGCCATCGCCGTGTCCCAGATGTCCTCGGGCCAGTGCCGCCTGGCCCCACTCATCCAGGTCATCCAGGACTGCAGCCACCTGTACCACTACACGGTCAAGCTCCTGTTCAAGCTGCACTCCTGTGAGTCGCGGCCCGGGCTGCCTGCGCAGCTTGCATGGTAGAGAAACTAGGAAGATGCTTATTGATTTAAAAATAGCAGCATAATCTCATTAGCCATTAACATAACATACATTTTGTGAAATCACTGTTTTCCAAAACAGAAAAGATGCAGTGAAAAGAGTGGCGCAGACGCTCTGTGGACACCTGCTCCCAAGTGTCTCCCACCCGGCGCACGGGCCGTGGGAGCAAAAACCCTCTGAAGGGGTCTTGTCCCCCGACCACCCTTTGAGAACTAGGGGCCTGGGGAGTGTGAGCTGTCTCAGCACCTGCCCAGGGCAGTCGTGTGTCACCTGCAGCAGGGGCAGGTTGGGACTGACGTGGCTGCAGGGCCATCCTGTCTGCTCATAGCTGGACCTTCCCCCAGGGATCTCACCCCCCTTGTGGGGGTGGGGCAGGACCGGCCAGGTCCCCAGGGATCTCGAATCTGGCGGTTTCTGGCGTGTGGAGGAACAGGGGGGGGCATGTGAGCCACGAAGCCGTGTGCAGGGAGGCCCAGGCCCATTAAACTCGTGTGCCCCCCGCCGCAGGTCTCCCGGCGGACACCCTGCAAGGCCACAGGGACCGGTTCCACGAGCAGTTTCACAGGTACCAGCCGTGGGGGAGGGCAGGGCTGAGGCATGGCTGGGAAGAGGCTCTGGCTACTGTGACGTCCCCTGTCCTACCCTGCCCGCAGCCTCAGGAACTTCTTCCGACGAGCCTCCGACATGCTCTACTTCAAGCGGCTCATCCAGATCCCCCGGCTGCCCGAGGTACCTGCGCCCGCCCCGGGCTGCTCCTGCCCTCGGGGTCCTGGCGGGGCCCTGCACCGGCTTCCTCGGAGGTGGCTAAGTGGCTCCCACTTGCTGCCCCTCCAGGGACCCCCCAACTTCCTGCGGGCCTCCGCCCTGGCCGAGCACATCAAGCCTGTGGTGGTGATCCCGGAGGAGACCCCGGAGGACGAGGAGCCGGAGAACCTCATCGAGATCAGCACGGGGCCCCCGGCCGGGGAGCCAGCGGTGAGCACCCCCGCCCCACCCCCACGTCCCCTGCCAGGGCCTCCTACACGAGGCTAAGGGGTGTCAGGGTGACCAAGCCTCCCTCTGCCCCCCACCTGGAGGGCACAGGTGAGTGGGGTGAGGGTCACCATGCTTTGCCATGGCAGGTGGTGGCTGACCTCTTTGATCAGACGTTTGGACCCCCCAATGGCTCCCTGAAGGACGACAGGTGAGGGCCCCGGGAGCCACCTGGGCTGGGGGACTGGAAACGGCCTCCCCTGAGCTGTGCTCGGGACACTTCTGTATAGGAAGGCCACGGGTGGGGAGCGGGAGCTCCTAAGGTGCCCACGTGGCCATCAAGGAGAAGACAAGTTTGATTTTTCTAGGTGACTGAACTTGAACTCTGTCCCCAGGGACCTCCAGATCGAGAACTTGAAGAGGGAGGTGGAGACGCTCCGCGGCGAGCTGGAGAAGATCAAGCTGGAGGTGAGGGGCGTGGAGGGCGAGCTGCACCCCGCACGGGCTGGCGGGCCGCGCGCCCGCCCCATGCCGTGCCTCCCGCCCACAGGCCCAGCGCTACATCTCGCAGCTGAAGGGCCAGGTGAACGCGCTGGAGGCCGAGCTGGAGGAGCAGCGGAAGCAGAAACAGAAGGCCCTGGTGGACAACGAGCAGCTCCGCCACGAGCTGGCCCAGCTGAGGGCCGCGCAGCTGGAGGGCGAGCGGAGCCAGAGCCTGCGCGAGGAGGCCGAGAGTGCGTGGGATGGGGGTCGAGGGCGCTGTCCCCGTGGGGGTGACCACAACCCCAGGCGTCACACCCTGGCCTGTTGCCCGCAGGGAAGGCCAGCGCCACGGAGGCGCGCTACAACAAGCTGAAGGAGAAGCACAGCGAGCTCATCAGCACGCACGCGGAGCTGCTGCGGAAGGTGGGCCTGCGCAGGGCAGGGTCCCAGGTAGAGCCAGCCAGGGACAGGGGCACAGTGTGAGCCTGTCTCCTGCTCTTGCAGAACGCAGACACAGCCAAGCAGCTGACGGTGACACAGCAGAGCCAGGAGGAGGTGGCACGGGTAAAGGAGCAGCTGGCCTTCCAGATGGAGCAGGTGAAGCGGGAGTCCGAGCTGAAGGTACGTCACGTGTGTGTGCGTACACGCGCGCGCATGAGCACGCACAGGGCGAGCCCTGGGCACCCCATCCCACTGCCCCAGTGACACGCTGTCCTGTCCCAGCTGGAGGAGCAGAGCGACCAGCTGGAGAAGTTCAAGAGGGAGCTGGAGGCCAAGGCTGGGGAGCTGGCCCGCGTGCAGGAGGTCCTGAGCCGCACGGAGCAGGTGCTGCTGGCTGCCAGGGGGTGGGGGGTGTCCTGGGAGCAGGTGGGACAGAGTCAGGTCCTCCTCCCTAGAGGCCACACCTAGGTACCGCTGGGTTTAGGGGGCCCTCAGTGGTGCAAGGTGAGCCCTGACCCTGACCCAGAGGCTACGCAGGAGACAGAACCTCAGGAAGAAGGTCCAAGTCCACGGAGGGGTGGTCAGTCACCCCCACCCCTGGTCTGGAAAGAAGGGGGCCCTGCTCACATGCTGCGTGTCCACAGAGCGGGTCGGAGCTGAGCTCGCGGCTGGAGGCGCTGCGCGCCGAGAAGGACGCACTGAGTGGGGCCGTGCAGCAGCGGGAGGCCGACCTGCTGGCGGCCCAGAGCCTGGCGCGCGAGAGGGAGGCGGTGCTGAGCCAGGAGCAGCAGCGCGGCTCCCGGGAGCGGGGCGAGCTCCAGGCACGGCTGGCAGAGAAGGTACGGCCCCGGCAGCGCCACTGCCACAGCGCTCAGTGCAACCTGGCCATCCCTCTTGTGCTGCCAGAACGTTCTCAGCACTCAGAAAAGAAACTCCTGACCCAAGAACCAGTTAATCCCATCCTGGCAACCCCCGATCTTTCTGTGTAAATGAAATCCCACAGCATGTGGCCTTTTGTGACTGACTGCTTTCACTTAGCATCACGTTTTCAGGGTTCATCAGCTGTGCTGCGTATGTCAGTACTCCGTTTTTATGGCCAAGCAATGTTTCATTGCACGGTAGATCACACTTGCCGTCAGCTGACAGACCCTTAGGTGGTTTCCCTGTTTGGGCTGCTGTGAGCCTGTGTGTGCAGGTTTCTGTGCGGACAAAGGCTTTCATTTCTTTTTTCTTAAGACTAGTCAAGTGCATCGGTGAGGAGGGGGAAAGCAGTAGAACAAGGAGTTCAATCTGTAACTGTGAACAATCGAGTGAGAAAACTCACTACCTTCAGATCAGCCCTTTCGTTTCTCTTGAGTAGACACCTAGCATGAGGGTCACGTGGGCAATATATTTAACATTTCGAGCAACTGCCAGGCTTTTTTCCAAAGTAGTTACACTGTTTTATATTCTACCTGCGACGCATGAGAGTTCCAATTTATCTACATCCTTGCCAACACTTAGTATTGTCTGCCTTTATTATTGTAGCCATCCCAGGGGGTGTGAAGTGGTTTTGACTTGCGTTTCCCTGGGGGCTAACGCATGCCCCTTCACGTGCTCGCCGGCCAGTGGCGGATCTCTGGAGAAACGCCTGTTGGGATCGCTGGGTTTCTCTTACTCAGCTGTCCGTCTGCCTCTTGAGCCGGAGTGAGGCCCCGCTTCGGCAGTCGAAACTCCTCCACTGGGAGGGTCTCAGCTGGGCCGAAGGGGGGCGTCTTCTCTGAGCCGCCTCTCCCCACTCCCGCCAGGAGTCGCAGGAGCAGGGGCTGCGGAGGAAGCTGCTGGACGAGCAGTTCGCGGTGCTGAGGGGCGCGGCTGCTGAGGCCGAGGCCATCCTGCAGGACGCCGTGAGCAAGCTGGATGACCCCCTGCACCTGCGCTGCACCAGCTCTCCAGGTACGGACGCACGCCCCCTTCCCGTCCCCAACACTGAGAAGCAGCGGCAGGCACTCAGGTTCTCCCCGTGCTTGCAGACTACCTGGTGAGCAGGGCCCAGGCCGCCTTGGATTCTGTGAGCGCCCTGGAGGAGGGCCACGCCCAGTACCTCACCTCCTTGGCAGGTGAGTGGGGAGAGCAGGAGGGGGGCTGGGCCCGGGGTCTAGCCATTGTTGCTATCTCGTCCCTTGGGTGGAGGTTTCCTGGACACCAGGAACCTCTTCAGGCAGCTCAGCAGAGGCTCCTCCCCTCCGCCAGGAGCCCAGCCCGCCCTCTGGGCAACAGACAGACTTAGTTCCTGCTGCCTTGGGCCGAACTGTCCTACTAAGCCCTCCTTTCCTCGTCCTTGTCTGGGGTTTGCTGGGAGGATGAGACAGGGCAGCCTGCTGGTGACGATGGCCCTGTGCTAGCATCCCATGGTTGTCCTCCCGCACAGATGCCTCCGCCCTGGTGGCAGCCCTGACCCGGTTTTCCCACCTGGCTGCGGACACCATCATCAATGGCAGTGCCACCTCCCACCTGGCCCCCACTGACCCTGCTGACCGTAAGTGGGTCCTGGGCGGCAGGGTCAGCCACTTCACCGGCTTGTCTCCCTGGGGGTCTTCATGGCAGCCTGGGGAGGGGCCTGTGTGCGGCAGCGTCACGGGGCTTTCTTCCTGCTCAGGCCTAATGGACACCTGCAGGGAGTGTGGGGCCCGGGCGCTGGAGCTCGTGGGGCAGCTGCAGGACCAGCAGGCTCTGCGGCGGGCACAGCCCGGCCTGGTGCGGACCCCCCTGCAGGGCATCCTTCAGCTGGGCCAGGTAAGGCGCAAGACCACAGGGGGCGGGGCAGGAACCACACCCCACCCCGAGCGCACCCAAGTCTGACTCCTGCCTTCCCAGGAGCTGAAGCCCAAGAGCCTGGATGTGCGGCAGGAGGAGCTGGGGGCCATGGTGGACAAGGAGATGGCAGCCACGTCTGCGGCCATTGAAGACGCTGTGCGAAGGATCGAGGTGAGGATGGTGTAAAGGAACTCCGAGGGGGCTGCAGGCGGGGACAGAAAGCCTTCTCCAGGGCCCTGAGGTCAGAGCTGGGAGGGTAGGAGGTAGCCCTGGTTTCCTGAGCACGGGCGGGGAGGGGGGGCGCCTTCTTCCCACATTGCCCTCCCGCACTCACCGCTCTGTCACTGGATGTAGGACATGATGAACCAGGCTCGCCACGCCAGCTCGGGGGTGAAGCTGGAAGTGAATGAGAGGTGAGCCCTCCTCTGCTCTCAGACCCAGAATAGGGGGCTCCCCCACGGCCCAGGGGGTTCTATCCCGACTGCATAGTGCATGCAGAAGAAGGCCTGGAGTGAGCAGGCACCCCCTTCCTCGCCCGGGGGCCCTGCTTCAGAGGAACAGCTGGCGTCTCCCCTTCTCTCCCCACAGGATCCTCAACTCCTGCACGGACCTCATGAAGGTGAGTGGGTGGCTGGGGCCCCAGGGCGGGCTCTGCCTGGAGGGCTGCCCGAGCGTCACACGCATCTTGGTCTTGGCAGGCGATCCGGCTGCTGGTGATGACGTCCACCAGCCTGCAGAAGGAAATCGTGGAGAGCGGCAGGGTGAGCTGGGCGGGCCGTGGCCTACCACCCCCTCCGCAGGCAGGCCACGTGGCTGAGCCAGCGAGGGACAGCTTTCTAAGAGGGGCACGAGGCCCCTAAAGTGTGTAGTTGATGAGACACCTCCATCCCCTAAGGCAGGGATGTGCCCTGGGGCCAGGGTGAGGGGAGAAAGGCTGTGGGGACCCCTTTCTGAAACCCTGGGATGTCCTTGTTTGGCCCATCCTGCTGTCTCCACTAGGGGGCAGCCACGCAGCAGGAATTTTACGCCAAGAACTCGCGCTGGACTGAAGGCCTCATCTCAGCCTCCAAGGCGGTGGGCTGGGGAGCCACACAGCTGGTGTATGTCACCCCGGGTGGGGGGGCAGCAGGGCATGTGGTGCTAAGTGTCTGACCCATGGGGTCAGAGAGACCCTGTCCTTGACCAGCCTCACCCCCCCAGGGAGGCGGCTGACAGGGTGGTGCTTCACACCGGCAAGTACGAAGAGCTCATTGTCTGCTCCCATGAGATCGCGGCCAGCACTGCCCAGCTGGTGGCCGCCTCCAAGGTAAGGCTGTGCGCCCCACACTTGGCCTGGGTGGGGGTCCCTGACTGCTGGCTGTGGTCACGAGCCCGGGGCCCACCCTGACACTCCCCCCAGGTAAAGGCCGACAAGCACAGCCCCCACCTGAGCCGCCTGCAGGAATGCTCCCGCACCGTCAACGAGCGGGCTGCCGGCGTGGTGGCCTCCACCAAGTCAGGCCAGGAGCAGATCGAAGACAGAGGTGAGCGTCCAGGTGTCTGAGGGCACTGCCAGCTCCCAGGGAGGGGGGGAGTGGCGCCCAGACACTTACCGTGCCCTCTGGCCGCAGACACCATGGACTTCTCCGGCCTGTCCCTCATCAAGCTCAAGAAGCAGGAGATGGAGACCCAGGTAGCGCCCGTGGCTGTGGAGCTTGTCCCTGTCGGGCCGAGCCCCGGGTGGTGGTGGTGTCCTCCGTGGGAAGGTGGCCGTGCTGACGGGGCATCTGGACTGCAGGTGCGCGTCCTAGAGCTAGAGACGACACTGGAGGCCGAGCGCATGCGGCTGGGGGAGCTGCGGAAGCGGCACTACGCGCTGGCCGGGGCGGGCGCCGCACCCAGCGAGGAGGAGCCTGGCCGGCCCAGCACTGCCCCTCGAAAGAAGCCACCCCTGGCGCAGAAGCCCAGCGTGGTCCCCCGACAGGATCACCAGGTGCCAGGCCTCACCACTGAGATGGGGGGGCTGTCATGGGGTGCCAGCCCAGGCTGTGCCTCATGACCCTGGCCATGTCCCCTGAGCCCCCCACCTTTGACCCCTGCAGCTCGACAAAAAGGACGGTGTCTACCCGGCTCAACTCGTGAACTACTAGGCCCCCCAGGGGTCCAGCAGGGCAGCTAGTGGACAGGCCTGGGCCTCCAGTGGCCTCGCACCTGGGTCAGTGTCCTCAAGGCCCCTGGCCCTCAGGGGGCCTGGGTTGTGCGGATGGTTCTTCTGGATTCGAGTCTATTTATCTGCAAAAGGAGCTTGGGAGAGCAGCTGGGACCCAGGAGGCCTGAGCCACAACTCTTCAGGAAAAAGTGGAAGGTTTTTAATATTCTGAGTTAGAGCTTTTCTCCTAAATTTATAGTCAGCACACTGGGAAACAGGGCCACTGGAGGGGCCCCTGCCTTCTGGACTTGCTAAGACCTCCTATCTGCGGCCTTCTTGGGGCACTGACTCCACACGCCCTCAGGCCATGTGGCCTCCGCAGAGGATGCTCTGGGATAGGCTGGAAGGGCGCTGCCCACTTCTTGGGCTGGCCCTCGAGCATCCCTCCTGCAAGCCCCTCAAAAAGAAGTCGGAGGCCAGAAGTGGCTACTGTCTGGGAATCAAGGCAGGTGCCCCCAGCCCAGGTGCTGCCTTCCCTCCTGGGATTTCCACTTACGGCTGCAGCCTGCAGCCACCCTCCGTTTCCTGTTTTCCCTTCCCCTGGCCTGGCCAGCCCAGCCCTGCGCCCTCCAGCTCAGCCAGAAAAAGCCCAGAAACCCCTCAGGGTGGTCTGGGGCAGGCTGGCCTGGCTTTGCTTGCCGCTGTCAACTTGAACAAGTGTGTTCCCTGAGCCCGAGGGGAGTGGCTGCAGGGGTTGGGGACCAGGCTGGGAGGGCAGAGCCAGCACTAGGCTGGACAAGCCCCCTGTCCTCCCACCCTGGCCTGTGCATACTGAGCACGGTCCAGGAGGGGCAGAGCAGCTTTGTTAGTACTTCCTTGTGTTGAAGTGTTCCGTTGGCAATAAAATGCACTTTGACTGTTGTCACCAGTGCCCCTGACTCATTTCTCCAGGGATGCGCCGTGGTCCCTTCACCAGGCTGTCCAGGTGCTGGGCAGGGGCCCCATAATTTTTGCAGGTAACACTAGAGCACTTGGGACCACAGAGAATCTCACTAGTGCTGATGGTTCTGCCAAGAAGTGCCCCCCACCCCACATCTCTGGGCAATTTAGGCTACAGGGCCCTCCTTTCACACAGGTGGCTGCATCCGCCACCTCCATTCCCAAGAACCCCCATGGGTTGTTAACCCCTTGGTGTGTCTCTGACACCACACATAAGCTTCCTAGGGACCTTGACTCCAGCTGGTCTGCAACCAACCATCATGGCCACATGCAGCCTTTTTTTTTGAAACAGAGTCTCACTCTGTTGCCCAGGCCAAAGTGAGTGCCATGGCATCAGCCTCGCTCACAGCAACCTCAAACTCCTGGGCTCAAGTGATCCTCCTGCCTCAGCCTCCCGAGTACCTGAGACTATAGGCATGCACCATCATGCCTGGCTAATTTTTTGTATATATATTTTTAGATGGTCAATTTAATTTCTTTCTATTTTTAGTAGAGACAGGGTCTCGCTCAGGCTGGTTTCGAACTCCTGACCTCGAGTGATGCGCCCACCTCGGCCTCAGAGAGTGCTAGGATTATAGGCATGAGCCGCCGCGCCCGGCCAACATGCAGCCTATTAGAGGACTTGCAGAGTGTCTAAGTCCAAGTGCGCAGCTGGCCCTGCAGCACCCACTTCCCCAGGCACATATGCCAGAGGGAAGGCTGGGGCAGCCCTGCCTTGTCACCAGCACTGATGGAACAAAAGGACAGTGCAGGTCAGGGGAGAAAGTCACCTCGGATGGCTCCAGAGCAGCTGGCTCCTGCACCCGCAGGCACTCGTGCTGGGCAGATGGGACCCTGTGCATGACAGTGCTTTACAAACTGGTCACTGTAACATAAGGGCAGCCGAGACGGAGCCCATGCCTCATTCTCGTGCACGAGGCCCAACAGCTGCAGACAGCACTAAAGCAAACGATTCTCTGCTAAATATAAACCAGCGCAAGCTGGCACGCGCCGACTGTACTCAAATGATCCAAGGAAACTTGAGTTGGCATTTTTAAGTCCTCAATGATCCGACCTTACACTGGAGACTCCAGTTCAGGAGTGCTGGGCTAGAAATCTGAAGCCTTGTATGGCCTTGGCACCCCCACTTACTACTCACCCTGGAATTAGTCACCGCCCCTGCCTGGTACCTTTGCTCACAGAGGGGAGGACATAATAGGCGGAGCTGATGAGAAGCCACAGCACTCACAGTGCAGTCCAGTATCCTCGCTGGAGGTGGATGACAGATCCAGGTATAAGCTTCCTAGCAGCCACTGGAAAAGAGAAAATATGAGACACGCTTTTATAAAAGGCAGACTAATTTCTCAGGAAAAGGGTCCCTCTTCCCAATAGGAAAACCACGAATTTTTCCTGCACATCCTCATGACACAATGATGTGCCAGGAATGGCAGCCTATTCAGAGACGGCAACGGGTAAGCTTGCACCCACCTTGGTGTTCCCAGAGTCCTTGGCAAGGGTGTTGAGGCCCAGATAAGCAGCTTGTCCGGGGTGGCGGGCACAGGTGTGGAGCTCTGCACAGGAGGCAGGGCTGGATGCCCCCCCAGCCTTGAGGGGAGCAGCACCCCACTAGGCTTTGCTCTGGGCAGGGGCCACTGTGTCCCCTTAAAACCCTGCCACCAAGTCCCCAAAGCAAGGTGTCAGAACCACTGAAATTTTCCCATTTGAAACAAGCAGAGGTCCTAACTAGAGTCTCCCTCAGTACAGCACATGGCAGTGACCCGAGTACAGAGGCCAGAAACAGCCCAAGCCCTGAGGTCCTCCTCAGCCCCCTGCTCCGGCACTGTGGCTTCGGTCCTGCAGAGGCAGGGTTTTTAATACACACAGGAGGATGCGCTGCCTCCTGCCCGCCACTGGTGTTTATGAACAGACTCTCTCCTAAGAATCCAAGAGGATGGGCATCAGGACCCAAGACAGGCAGAGCCTTCAGTCTCGGGAGCCTTTTGTTTTTAACTTCAAGAACAGTCACCTTCCCGCTGGAACTCTGATCAATGACTCTTAGAACCAAACACAGCATGAACATCCACAACCCCAGGTTAATAAGTGACAGGACAATTATTATTAATAATTCTCTATTTATTAAAAACGGTCCTATAGCTTTACAACCACAGTGCCAGACGTGGCCCTGGACAGCGACAGCAGGCCCAGCCTGGTGGCCCGCACAACATCAACACCGAGCTTGTGTCTGGCCGAAAAGAGACGATGGGAGCGCACCACTCACTTGTTGACAAAAGCCTGTGTGCTCATTGGTGAACTTCTGGCCTACCCTCAGCTGTCACCTCTCAGGCAGCCAGGCGACCTATGACCCACTGCCAGCTGGCTGCCACCCAGGGTGACAGAAGAAGGCAGAGCTGAAACAGGGTCTGTCCCAGTGGCCCGTGGTCTAGGTCACCAACCTGTCCTCAATTACTGTATACTCCTGCTTCTGGACTTGAACTCTATTAAACATGTTTTTTTTAAGAAAATGGAGCTGCAAGGTGATTCACTGCCACACCCATCAGGTGGGCTTGCCATGTTCTGTGAATCTCGAGCGGTGGTGCCACCCACCTCCAATACCTCTGCTGCCGGCCTGCTGTTGGGGACGCCTGCAGCCCGGCAGGGGCCCAT